GTCTGATCTGTAAATTCCTCGATCAGTGTCGCAATTCGTTAACGCATGTTGTCACGCAGCTTTAACGTTACGCATTGTGCTCATGTAACGCGTTAGCGCGACACTGCTGTTAGAAAATAAAGCATGCACGTTGGCAGCTAATTCTCGAACCTATTAGCGAAATCCGTAATCTCACCGATCTGTTAAATCGTGTTTGTAGATTCGCTCGAGTAAGTGAGAGTAAGTGAGAGGGACAGGAGAAGGAGAGAAGAAGGAGTAGAGAGAGAGAGATAGAATAAGAGGTGAGATGCAATGTTATCGTAAATAAACATAAGTTTATATTGCGTACCTTCTACATCACAGATCGCGAGTTATTACTGTCCGTTATTTTAAAGTAAGTGTGGAAGACGCGACGTCATTGGTTGCATCAACAAATTGTTGTCATAAGTAATTTTTATTCAATTGTTGTCATAAGTAAATTTTTACATTATATATTCATATATTCGTAGGAAAAGCTTTATATGTACTTTGACCTAGCAAGTTATTTTTAAGGCAATGTCTCGAAACTATCTAGGTTTCCATATTGTCTTTCAATATTTGGAAAATACATTGTAAATAACTAATACAACTAATCAATATTGCATAAACCATAGAAAACATTTAAATAATCTTTCTACATAACTCACCGTGAATTAATTCTACTTCAGTCAGAAGCAATTACTTCTGAGTCAATATTTTTTTATGTATAGTATGAGTTAATATAATTAAATATAAATTTTTTATTGCTGATTATTTTGAAAAATAAATATTAATTTATTTATTTACTTATTTACTTATTATTTGCTGTAGCAAATATTTATTCTAAGCAAAGATATTTGAGCCAGTGCTCTTTTACTTATCTATTGTTTTATTTACATTTAGTTTGATCATGATTTTCTTTAATAAACCATCAACATCTTAGATTTTAATAATCTATATCTACTTAATCGATATCTACTTATGAATATTTTATTTAAAAATAATTTACAAAATAACAAAGAAATAAGTTTAATATCATTGCATCAAGAATTTAAACATGCTTGTTTTATCAAAAGAATAAGGATAAAGAAATTTTACTTTCTTCAAAAATCACTTAATTATTAAAGTAGGTTAAGTAACCTATTATAAATCTTATTACTAAATATTCTATAGAAAAATTCAAAAAGTTTCATTTAAATCAATGATTAATAATCAATGATTTAATCAATGATTTAAATCAATGATTAGATAAGAAAAATTTTTAAGCAACCTAATATTGTGAGTTAAGTCTGTCCTTTATAGTTAAACTAGTTTACATACATTTGTTATAATTGAAATTAATATATTGGGCCATCTAAAAAGTATCCGCGGTTTTTTGTCACTAGATGTGTGTTGATGGTCATATATCTAGTGACAAAGTACCGCGGATACTTTTTAAAAACAAGATAAAAAGTTTTAATAGTCTAATATAGTGACAAAAGACAGGCCTAGGGAATATTATTCTTATTAATCTATACGAATCTAAATATTTTTATATTTGTTTACAAATAAGTTATTTTATATTTTATATATAAACTCTTGTTTTTTTTCTAATTGTTCATATAATGTAATAAATTAATATATATTTATTTGTTACAGAATACTTAATATTTAAATAAACATGGGAGGTGCTGTAAGTTGTGGGCAAGACAATGATGAATTAGTGGATAATTTAATGGGGTCGGGATATATCAGAACAAAGAAGGTGGAACAAGTTTTTAGAGCTGTAGATAGAGCAAACTATGTTTTGCCTGAATATCGAGAAGGCGCTTATAAGGATTTAGCTTGGAAACATGAAAATATACATTTATCAGCTCCCTGTATATATAGTGAAGTATTGGAAGGACTAAGTTTAGAACCTGGTTTAAGCTTTCTGAATCTTGGATCGGGTACTGGTTATCTCAGCACAATGGCAGGATTGTTAATAAGTAAGAAAATTGTTGTTTTAAAAAATAATATCGAATATGTATATCTTTTGCACCTTTTTCAGAACAACATGGAATAAATCATGGAATTGAGTTGCATGAAGATTGTTTAAGTTACGCATACAAAAGGTTGGAGGAATTCAAGGAAACGTCATTGGCTTTAAATGAGTTTGATTTCTGTGAACCTGTATTTACACAAGGTAAAATAATTTTTTGAATGTTAGCAAGATAACAATGATTTTATATCAAACATTACATAATAATATCCAACAGGAAATTGTCTTAGCCTCATACCAGGTAGACAATATGATAGAGTATATTGTGGTGCAGCGTGTCCTGAAAGTCACGAGGCATTTATTAAGCAATTCGTACGCGTTGGAGGTATATTAGTAATGCCTTACAAGGATGAATTACTACGTTTGCAAAGAGTAGATGAGAATACATGGTTGCAGAACACAATGCTTCCCGTATCGTTCGCGACTCTAGTCGTACCTCCGTCCTCAGAACACAATTTGTTTCATCTACGTATGTATATACCATAAACAAATATTTTATGTTTATTCGACAATTTACGCTATTATGAGATTACGCTATAATTTACACTGTATTCGAAATTCTATTGCAGCGGAATACAATCCCTTATCTCTGCAAGAGCTGTGTCGTGGTAGAATCCGACATCATCTACGTCACAATATCTGGAACGAGCATCCCGAACTCGAGACTGTAAAGCCTGTACATCCACCAATACGTCAAGGGCAGACAACTGAGCAACAAGATACCCTCAGACGTTTTGTAATACCTATTTTTGATTCTGACGATTTTACCGATGATGAGGAAGAACTCGCCGGGCGAGCGCGTTTCTTATTAAATGCGCGTCTCGCTGACGTTCAACCTGGAGAAGCTATCACGACGAGCTTGCAATTGGTACGGGCGGTCGTGCAACCGAATCAGAACGGTGAAGATAGTGGAGAGTCTCAACGGATTTTGGACAATACCTACGAGAGTACTCGAGATATCGGTGTGAATACGGATTTCCCTGTACGTCAGCAGAGGCGGAAATCCAACGCGAAAAGCACCGTTTCAAGTATGAGTATGGATGACACGAGTGCGGGTCACAGTTCCTCTGTAGGCACAGATACAAACGACAACAACAACGGAGTGGAGGAGCGGAGTAAAAGAAACGTGGAAAAGTCCAGCGTGGCCGCGTACTCCAACATGAGCGATAGCGACAGCGACAGTGATGACGAACAAGAGAGCGTTTTTATGCAACGCAAGAAAATTGCGAAGCGCGAAAAAACGGACAGCGGTATAGTGGACGATGCAAATTTCAGCAATGATGAAAGTAGCTCTAGTTCGAACACTAATCACTCTGACACTAATGATTCTGACATTACTGATACTACGGACGCGGGCGATGCAATGGACGTAGATCCCGAATTACCCGAGATCGCGATTTATAAATCGTGCAACGATGTGTGCTGCAATCCGAAATGGCAAGTCGGCTCTAATGGCAAAAAAGTAACTGTCGCGCACTACACAGATAGCAAGGCGTTTGCTGTTTACATGAAGGAAAAGATAGGACAGTTACCGTTGCCTTTCTCAATAAAATTGTATATGAATTATAATCGGAAATTATAAGCAAATAATCGTTATATATTATTCTTATTTAAAGAAATACATACATTTTTACGCAATGAATGTACAATGTTTCTGTTTCTCTCGCGTATGCGTTCGTTTGAACTTACGTAATTTACACGAATGCTTTATATCCCGAGTGATGTTTTCAAAATTAACTTCTATCGCGTCTCGTATCTTACGGCACTAGTTAACTGTTACTGATATACTTTTTATGCGATCTGCAGCTAATGATGAATCAATTGACATACGATCTTTTATCAGTTTCGAGTTATCTATTGTTCCTACAAAACTTTTCTTTTAATCTCCTACTTTGCATAATGAATAGAAATAAGACATAGAACTGTACATGTATAATTGGAATATTTAAGGATAAAATTATTAAAAAGATTAAAGTCTCATAATTTTATTATATACGATCTTTTATTTATATAATATCTCTCCTACGAAATGTCTGTGTCAAAATTAAATTTGATTATTCTTTAAAATCTACTTTCCAAAATTCGACTTTATAGATTCGAAATGAATCAAGAGAAATTAAGGAATCAAAAAAAGATAAGATTATTAATAAAATAAAAACACATCTGATCTCCGTCTTAGAAGATCACGCTTTTGATATCAATTAGATCGCAAATATCGCAACTGTGTCAGAAGTTTCAGAAGTTGTCTACATCTGTATTCTAAAATTACTGTCAATGCTAAGAATCTATACATAATGTAAACTATAGATTTTCAGCGCTATAAACTTGGAACATAGCCTATATTACTTCATAATTGGCAACGCTAATACTTGAATAAATTAAGATAAAGCAAATATAGTTCAAGGAGTCGATAAAAAACAGATCTAATTAAAGGATCGAGGGAAAATAGGATCGTAAAAGTAAGAAAATTCCTAATTCATTTTGGAAAATCATGCTTTCGGTATTAAATCCGATGTCAAGTCGTGATCTACATTGACCGCGTCAGTCGAATGTTTATTTTGCAACTGTTGAAAGTTTTCTTCGCTGAGATAAGATATTCCTTTAAATCTAAAAGTTATACAATTCAGTCAATGCGAAGAAAACCTCAAACAGTTCGAAAATAAACATTCTATTAAACGCAGCCAATGGAAGTCACAACTTTTGACATTGTTAATTTATATTTGGCAGCGCCAAAATTTGAATTATTCATACTGAACTTGTCCCAATTGAATTTTGACAACGGTACCAATACTTCCGCATCAATACACATGTAGGCCATGGATTAATTTACCCATGGGGTGGACGCGCGCGGACAGATTAGGGTTGGAGGAGATCGGGATGGAGGAGACTAGCGCCAACAGCCCTACAGCAGCCCGACAGATCGCGCGACGTCGCGCATCTGTAATAAGGGTGGGCAAGGGAGATCAGTAATCAGTATCAGAGGTCGTGTCGAGGTATATCAAAGTGTATCTACCGCTCATCTCATCATTCTCATCGTCGATCTTTTCATCGAAATTATCCAGTTTCTGTCTGAAATCGCGTTTCACGTTTCTCGCAAATCTCTCGATGGTGTAATCCATGATGTAGTCGAGATCGAGAAATTCGTGATGCGTTGGACATCCCCCCAAGATTTGCGCTTTTGCGCGGTATTCGGTTCGCGGGTAAGCCTGACCGAGCGCAACATCCCTGGTTGTTCCTGCGCGAGGGGATATCGACACCGTCATGCCGGGGAATCGTCGATGTGGACAGAAACCCAGCGGATGATAGCCGATTGAACGAAATTGAAGAAAGACGACTCGTGCGATCGTTCATTTGGAGGTATCGCAATAACGCCCCGCTCGAGCCGCGGATAAGGTGAGGAAGATGTCGCGTCGCCGACGTGTGTTTACGCGGACATCATCTAGGTCATCATAGCCAATTCACTACATATTTCGAAACGGATTAATTTCTGCTACGAATTTCATTTAACAAAAAATTTTTTAAGAATGTCATGAGTTACGAATTTTCAAGAATGTTATAAGTTTATATTATATACGCACAATTCTATGCCAATTATTTCTGTTTATTTTTTATTCACCAAAAAATTATCTAAATTTTGTAAGAATATTTTATAAATTATACAATATAGAATTTTTAAAAATATTGCAAATAACGAAATTTAAGACCTGGTTCCACCAATGTAAAATTAATTTTAATTTCGATTTAATTTATTCTTTATGTTCTTAAAATTAAAAAAAAAATTAGTGGAGAATCAAGCCTAATGCCCGTTTCTATCATAATATAATTTAATTTTAATCTTGATTCAACTAACTCATCTTTTTTCAGTTCTAAAAATTAGTTTCAGTTCCACCAATATAAGATTTATATATATATAAAATCTCGGTTTAATTTACTATTTACGTTTTTCTCTAATTCTTAAAATGAGAAAAAAAATGAAAAGTAAATTAAACCAAGAATAATGTTAAATGTCACATTGGTGAAACCAAGCTGAAGAATATCGTATGCACATGCGATATTCTCTCTACTGCACCAAATATAAATGCATGAAACAAAATATTCAAAGCAATTTTGGCAGCCTTTTTTAAAAGCTCCTAAGAACTCAAAATATAAATATATAATCTTTTCTAATGTATCAATTAATTTTACTAATTGATTAATACTGATTTTGATATTTTTCTTCTTTTATAGATTTGAAGAATGAAGATGAAGACTACCATGTCAAGTGTTTTTCTCCTGTGTCTCTTCTGCTTCAACCTGCCGGATGTCATCATGAACTTTGATCCGTTCTGCGGTGGTCATTTGGCAGGCCCCAGAGGCGTCATACACACGCCGAATTTTCCCGGATCCTTTCCGATTCCGATTAAGTGTCGTTGGGTAATTGACGTGTCCGACATCCCGTCGACCAACAGCTCCATCGTCGTCTATCTGACGCAGCTCTATGTCTACAAGGGGCTTCGTTTCACCGAATATGCATACTACGAGTCCGAGACCATGAACTTTGGTGCAGCCCTAATTAAGGAGGTGACCGAGGGTAATGTCTTCGAGTATCAACGCCTGAGAACGTTCAGGCCGTTCTTGGTAGTCGAGTTCGAGCTTGATCGACTCGAGGGTAATCACGTAAGGGTATTGAATGACCTGCTCGACGTGTATGGATTCAATGTGACTTACGAAATGACTGAAGAACATCCAAATCTTGAGTCCTGCACCATACGCGACTGCTCCTTCGCTGGTAACTGTCTCGTCTCTGCAGATTACACGTAAGTTATTAATATTATTTATTATACATCAAAATATATTCTGACACTTCATGTTGCATGTCTATTGTAGATAAAAATAACATTAATTTTTAATAAATTAAAAAATAAATAGTCGAGAGTGATTCATTTATTATTTATATATTTGAATATTATTTTATTTATATTTTTTTTTTATTTGTATATTTATGTATTATATATAGTTTTTTAATTTATAATTGTATACTATTGCGTTTTACCTTTTTATAATTATTTATTTTTGTTGTGCTATTGTGTATCTGAAGTTATATTCATTTTTGAGATATTTATCCTCTTTTACAAATATGTAATATTACTTGTATATTAATATTATTATTATTATTTAAACTTATAAGGCGCATTCGCATTGTGTTGTAATTGGAAAACAATTTTTTATTTAATGTATGAGAATATAGTCACAATAGAAGATTATTTTCATTAATTAAAAAAGCTCAAAATAAATTGAATGTGAATGTATATACATATAATATATACTTTCATTGAAAAAGCTGAAAATACAATTTTTGCTACTATTCATCTAAAATAATTTTCGAATAATTTTAAACTTTTTGTAAACGTTTTATTTTATTTTAGTTATATTTTTAATTGTAAAAAGAATATTTTACTAATAATCTAAACAGAGGTGATGGAAATCTAAACGAATTATTTAATGTTTCTTTTATTAGCATATAAGGAAAAAGTCAGATTTTTTTTAATGAATATAAACTTTTAATATAAACTTTTTAATTCGATATTAGTAAATTATTCTTAAAAAATTCACAGCAAAAACTTCTAGAAACTTATACCTTCAAAGATAAATACACAAGAAATTAAATATTTACAAAGAATAATTGCTGTAGAATTACAAATTTTTCTACTATGAATCATAATATTTTACGATTTATTCATCGTAAAAGCAGAGTTTCCTTGTATTATGTTTTTTCCTTACTGTTATGTTTTTTCTTTTGCAGGTCTTTCTGGTGCGATTGTTTCGATGGATTCAATGGAAGGAGCTGCAATGAAGGTCCGTTGTGTTTTAACGATGAAAATATTCCAGTTTGTCAAAATGAAGCCACATGCAGGTACTTATCACAGTACAACAATATATTTAAAAAGGATTATTTTTATGCAATTAGTTAAAAATATCTATTTATAAACATAAAAAATCTCGTATTTATTTATGTGAAATGAACTTTATACAAATATCTTTATAATGTATAACAGAATTAATATTTAAACATTTGTATAAATATTTTATATGCGATGCCATTATTTTTTAGTTCATTTACATTATCGCATAGTTAAATAGCTTAATTTTTTTTTATAGAAAGCGAAAGCTTTTAATTTGCATAATAATATAAAGAATTATAGAATATTATATACGAAATTGTAAAATAAAAATATTTTATAAAAATATGAATTATAATAAATTATATATATTTACTATAGTAAACAAAATTTTCTCTGAGGTAACTTATCGAATGAATAATTATTTGTTTATTGTAGACAAACTGGAGCAGAAGCAATGCACTGCGATTGTCCGGATGGTTACGTTGGACACAATTGCGAAACTCGTCTTTTAGATACATCAGACACTGGTAATATTTTACTGTTTGATTACGATCCAATTAGATTTGTTATTCAATCCGTTTTATTTTTATATGTACATTCAAACATATACTTAAAAATGAGCCGTGTGGCAACAAAATTTGTTGATTGCTTCATTAATCTCAGTCACACAAATCGCATTTATCAACTAGCGCAACTCTAATTTTTAGCTCATTTTTTTTAGTATATGTTTGAATTTATGTTCCAAGAACCTATTCATATTGTTTTTTAATTGTTTCATATATTATTCATGTGTTAACAAGAAGACTGAATAAAGTACAAATGAAATGCGTGAGAACACAAAAATTTTTGGAATTCCAGAACTGATTAGTTATATATCATTTTACAGAATGCGCTTTGGAGAATTGCATACTGCAGTGTCCTGTCAACGAGCAAGAGCAGCCGTGTACTTGTAAAGACGGCACGAAGATATACAACAGTGAGTTTTAATGTTTTATACATCTAATCATTTATTGCAAAACAACACGTTTTTTTTTATAATTGTTTTTTTTATATATGTATATATTTTGCAAATCTTTGTAACATAGATTCTTGTAGCTTTGGACTTTCTATTCAATGTTAACTAGATTTTCCTTAGACAATCTTATATAACATTAAATAGTTTTATAATTAAGCTTAAGTATTTTAAAGTATATTAAAAATTTAGTAAAATAAATTTATCGAAATGAAAAAGAGGACTTTACTTAATATAAATGAAAAAATGATTTTACTTAATATTAGTTATACGTCTGAAGTTATACGTCTAATTAATTAAAGCATTATTATTTTCTCATTTTGATTGAGCTTAAATATATTCGAAATTAAAAGAGCAAAGAATTCGTAATTGAAAGAAAATGCGACAAGCTTGTAACATCCTATGTAACACATGGACTTTGTATTCGTAGATCGATCGAGGTATGAATGCAGAATCAAACTGTCGAACGTTACGTCTCTCCGCACGGGTCTGATATCGCAACACGGAAGTATGGAATCATTTGTTAGCAAGCAGGTAAGTGAAGGAGAGTCAGAAATATGTTGCATTCGGTTTGTTATTGTTTTTTATTGTTTTTTTTTATTAAGAAAAAACATTCGAACTATCTAACAATCGTTTCCTAAAATATAGATTTTGTTCGATGAGATGACACGCTTCATAAAATATTTGCGATAAAAATATGAAAAATATAAGAATAATCACGTACGGATTGACGCATGTACTTGCGAGTTTATATGAAAACAAGATATGCATAAATGGATTATGTAATGAAATAAGATTTTCTGCTCTTAAAATAGCATGCGCGTGCGCGGATAGTTTCGAAGATTGTTGGAAATATTACAAAGAATTCCCCGTACGAAGCATTTATGTCGTGGTTTAACGTAAGCACGGACACATGACACAGCATCACTGATGAGCGGTATATATTGATTGTTATATACGCAGCTATATGACAATTATATGTCGTAATGATTTTGGTACATTTGCGTCAATTTATACTGACGTCCGAACAAACACATTACTTACAATACAATCCAGATAAGTGAAGAAGCAATCAATTTATTGCGACTTAAACGTAAATCCAACTTAAAGTTTATTTCGTAACAATGCAGAAACATTCAAATGTGCGTCAGAGTAAAATATTAGGTGTTGGAATTAATTCGTAGCGTTTTACAAGTGATGGGAAGTACTTTCATTAATGTATTTTTTAATGCTCATGTGAAATAAATAACATTCTTCACTTAAAAAACGCTACGAATTAATTCCAACACCTAATAGTATGAACATATTATTTAAAAATTAACTTATAACATACGTGTTTATCTCTCTAAAATGATTGTTCATAAGAAATTTTTAATCGTAAGATTTTTTTATAAGATTTTAAGGATTATTTCAAGGCCAAGACAAATATTTAATTAAAAATAAATAATTTATTTTATGATGATACATTTTAAATTTATGTTAAATATTATTTAATTAAGAAAAGTTGAAATTCTTTTATTAAAATAACTTTGACGAACTTTACAACGTTTCTTATCCTGTATGTAATTCCAAGGTTGTTCAAGTTTAGTTAAATTCCCACACAATGGCCATATCATAACCATAATTTTCCTTCTTGATATTTTCAGGCAAGGAATATCGTCGTATCAATTTCAATCGTTTTCTGAAAGTTTCATTTAATCCGTGCCTTCCTGGATCTCCTAGATAAATTTGTGCACCTCGTTCATGTGCGTCTCCCAACCAAGTCACTAAAGTGTTCGCTATTTCTTCGTCATATAATAAATCACCTACAAAAATCACGTCGTATGAATCTTCTAGTGGTTTTTTTAACAAGTTTTCGCACAACACCTCAATGTCCACATTGTTTAATATTGCATTCATCGCAATAGCTGTGCAGGCGACTGAAATCAAAGAAATATATTTCTATTTTATTAGTTATTAACATAATATATTTTACATTTTATTAGATATTAATAAATCTCAGTATATTGATAATTTAATTCCAATGATTTTAATATTTTACAAAAAAATATTTAATACAATATCGCAAAATTAAAAATCCTGTTTTGATCCTGTTACCTATGCACCAACAATGTTGGTTGGTACAATTAATTTTTTGAATTCTGATAGATAAATTAAAAAATTTGTAAAAAATAAAATAGTAAAACAGGAATGTAAATTTTTTTTTATTTTTATATAATTCGGAGCAATAAACAAATTTACATGCAGTTCGAAAACTGTTCTTTTATAAACGAAGGTTGAAAATTTTATTATTAACAAAGAATCAATAGCAATTAATATTGCACATATGTTTTGTTCTTGATAATCAGATTATATTTTTTTTTAGACGTATCTATATTTTAATAGCTTTTTAAATTATATTAATAGTTTTCCTCTTAATTATTTAACAAAACGTCACTAATATTACACCCATTTTGCGATATAATCAAAAAACATTCTTTCGTAGGTAATTGACCGTATCATACATAAAATTATCATTATCTTATAACTAACTCTGAGTCACATACTCTATAAATAGGTTTCTCATGAATATCATTCACGTTTTTACACTTGTTATAGAAGTTGCTGTTTACTTAATTATTTAATTTTAACAGAGTCTTTAAAAATATGAAAATATAGTCTTTAGAAATCATTGACTGATAGTTGTCATTAAAAATTATTATGTATTTTTTATGTTTTTATTTTATATAAAAATTATTTTATATATAAAAGTTAATATTATATTATTGGAAACACATTTTGATGTAATCATCATAGCAACAGATATTCGTAGAAATTGTTTCCATTTATTTGATAATTTGAGAACTTGTTAATTGCTTTAAAAAATTATGAATTTAACATTATTATTTCTTGTTGAAAAGCAATCTTATATGCTCAGAAGTAATTAAGACAAATAGAATCCATAAGATTATTTATTGTACATTATCTAAAAAAAATAATTTACTCGATAATATGATAAAATCATTAAACTATCTTTATCATTGCGGTTGAATGACACTCCGAACAGATAATCAAGAGAAAGTAAAATTCCTTGACATTGATATTAATATCTGTCATATTATGTCACTGAGTTTTTGTCGCTCGCGTCAATTGATTTGTTCGTAGACATTGGAAACGGAGACCACATGCATCTTTGTGTAGTCCTTATATATGACGTCCTTGACACCTATCGATTCGAGCCAAAAGCATGCTAGATTAATATTATAAAATACTATGCCAGCAAATAATAATCACATTCTGCGAATTTTAAAGTTCATAAGAAATGAACGTGATATCGGAAAGCCTAATCGTGATATATATTTCTGCTAAAAGCTTTTTCTTCGTATCTAATTAAATGAAAATTTAATAGAAAACATTTTTAATGCAACGATTTCTATGATTTATATTCTTTCTTTTATCAGATTGGATTCCAAAATACGTATTCAATTAAAATTAGATTAATATGATTAGATTAATATGCAATATTATATTAGTAATCTCAATATTGCATTTTCTCAATATTTATATCGAAAATTTATTTCTATAATATAGATTTTAGAAAATTTATTTCGATTCTATTTCCTATGAGCGAATAATATTCAAATTTTCGTTGATCTATTAGAAAGTAAAATTTATCGGTTAGTATGCTACACAAATGCAATAGTGTGAATTGACTTCAGTTTTAGTCTTTCTTTGACGCACGAAAGGTAAAATTCCTTCCTCTTTTATACCTACATAAAATCTGGGGGAAATCCACTCTGTGTCCCACATTCTAATTTCTTTACCGCTTTACTGCTTGATTCTCAAGGCACAACGTAACTTTTTTATTTGAAATAGCATATCAGTTATACAATATAAGATTTCAAATTATTATTTAATTAGCAATTTTGATTTTAATTCTGAACTTTCTGAAAAAATACAAAAATGGAAACAATACCATTGATAAAGTAAAATATCGCCAGATTTACAAATGTTATGTGAGTTATTCTGCTTTTTCTAATGCGCAATAATTGTGGCGTTGTATCAAGAAATAACGTATCAGTGACTTTCGTGATAATCTACAGAAACTTAATCAGTGAAGAAACATACGTCATAAGGGAGGATCTCCAGTGCGAATCAATCATTGATAGAAGTGCTCTCGAGGGCATTAATTCTACGTATTGTGCGCAATATGAAACGCGACAGTTAGTATGAACTACTATCAGCATTGTTTTTCTCGTGCAATACGATCGTGCAAAGGCACGACAGGCACGCGGACGACAAAACGGGCGGATACATTCGGATGTATTTTTTTTTTAAATCATGCCCATGGAATCCGGTCTTATCTGCGTATGGATTCAAGCCAATTATCTGTGTTGCTGTGTACATACATCTATTCATAGTAGATAAACTCACACAGATACGAGTGACGTCAAAGGGAATCTTTTGAGTCTTCCTTTTGGATCTTTAATCACGCGTTTTCCTCTTAGCTGTTGACATTCCTCGCCTCAATGGTGTAACAAGCGGACACAATCGTTACAAGGTACTTGGGAAACTCCGTTGCGAGAGAATTCCTCAAAGAGGTTCCAGAAAAGAAGAAAATTTCATAGGAACTTTATAGATACTAAAAAAAATTTGATAACATATAAGAAGTTGAAATTCGACATTTCATTGTACTTTTTTCTTTATTTTTTATTTTTTTTCTGCTGTAAAACAAACAAATGCTTTGTTTAAAAATTATTAATTAACAAAGTCTTTGTAAAATAATCCACTTAATATTACGCCATTGGCATGCGTTTCTTTGCCCTCTTAGTCTTGGCCTGAGTCGTAATTGCAACGAACCATTCCTCGAATAACACGGATCCTCTTTTTCTCCTTCTTCGAATTCTGATGTTCGAAGAACATTATTCGAAACGAAAGTCCCTTCGAAAATTCGACATATTTTTCGTCATTTCAAGGAACCAACAAACAAACACTTATGTTATGTGTAACATGATATCTCTGATATTTATCTTGTAAGGTTTACGAGTTATTACAATCTTTTGTAGTTTTGTACGATTGTTAATCTATTTATTATGTAATATTTTCCAGAGATAATTTACTTTTCTTTTTATCATTTATTTTAAAATCATTAGATAGTTATATTTATTCTACCTAGAATTTCGAAAAATTGAAATATGCTATATCAGTTATATCATTGAAACATATTATGAAACATTTACTGTAATATCAAGAATTGCGACATCGATGACTCTTAGATATCTCAATTATTTTACATTTTTTCAAATTAGTGAATTTATCTTATTGGAACATTCTCACATATGCCATTTTTTCGCATGTATCTATCTCTATTGTGATATCAGTCAAGGGCATTACAATTAAACGTCGAGCGTATGTAGCGTGTTGAGTACGTATAGAGAGTCTCAAATTTGCGATTTTATTTTTATACATTTTTTAAATGACGAAAAATTACATTTCTTGAACAAACATAACAAGATGATAATTATTTTGAATAATTGATAAAAAATTTAGAGGCCATCTCATTAATTGCAATCTTAAGACAAGATTATATTTTATATTTAAGGAGAGATTTATTTATAATAAAATTTAGGAGAAATTTAATTATAGAGTTATTTATAATAAAATTTATATTTGTATATATTAAGAATGCATTTTTAATATCAATTTTTAATTTTTTAGAATCCTTAAGAATCCTTATAGTCACATACTTTCATTTAAACTAATAATGTGTATTATTACGTACCAACCTTTACTGATGTCATTTGCAACAATTTTGCACGTTTCATTCATTAATTTTGCAGCTATCGCCGCAGCGCCGCATCCCGCACCCAAATCCAGTATTCTTATTATATCTTTTTTCACATTTTGTGTCATGCTGCCTAAAATTCTTTCCTTTTCATCCAGAATGAATCTCGTAAGTACTTGGCCTCCAGGCCAATAAATAGACCAAAATGGATCTTGAAATACATTCCTGGTCAAAGAATCAAATATTCCATTTGTATATTTATCAATGAATGGCTCGTGATATAAAGGAGAATTCTCTGTTAGTAAGAATAATTTTAGTTCTGGAGTCAGATGATTGCGAGTCATTTCAGTGTTTTTTAAGATCACATTTGTCACGTCCCGATCATTCTGGATAAATCTTTTAAGCGATGTTCTATGACTATTAAGCAGGAATTTCTCCCATACTTCCTTTGCGCTCTTTGAAAATTTTCGTGTGAAAAGCAACGTTTTCAAACACATATTTCTTCTGATAAGCATCATGTATCTTCCGATTTTCGAAACCTGAAAAAAATGCATTATCGATCGTTCATATAATGTATAACTTCCTACATTTCTTCCAACATTTCTTGAGGAAGTTTAAAAATACATTTAGAAATCAAATCAGTTTTACAAAATCAAAAATGATTAGAAAAGAAAAAACAATCACTGATTACTATCGTTTTTCAATAACGACACCGATAAGCGATTATCTTTCAAGAAATATATCGCAATAACGATATGGTTCACTTCACGTCCGCGATAAGATTATCAACTAATTAAGTTGGATCTAACTTGAGGATCTTGAATATAGAAAATATTTTACCCGTTATTTATTTCTGCATCTTCTGAAAATTTTATGTCATAAAACATTGATAGCATTATGAGAAGATAGTAAAAGTATTTTCAAAATATTTCGTGTTAAACGTAAACATCTTATTATGCTTCAATAAGTATGCCAGTTGTATTGATGTTGCAGTTATTCCCCAGAGAAATTTGCATTTACGCAAACAGCATTCATAATTTACGAGAGCAATGAGGAAAAGCTATAAACGATAGCAGAATGCTCCTATAATTACAAAAATAGTTCAAGTTATATATCTTGTTTGAAGAAAGATATTCTATTAAAACAACAAAGTATGTCCAAGATATTTTGGGATTTCCCCTCAGTCCTTCACTTATAAAGTATACTGCATTTATCACTTAGAGATATGAAAAAAAAACACTTGTGAAATTTTTAATTGACCAACATTTCATTTCGTGATAAAAATAAGTAAGTTTAGCAATCCATTTTAGTTATGATTTACAATATTTTATAAGAACGATTTTAATACTTCCAATTATATAATTTCAATCAGAAAATGTTTTTAGAATCCTTGAGAATGACTTCATTTTAATATCTTTTTAAAAAAATAGTCTTCTCAGAATAAAAATCTAAAAATTACCAGGGAAATAATTTAAAATTAAAAAATATTTTGCATTTTATTGTAAACATTAGTTCTAGAATGATTAAAATGTCATTTACATAATACAGCTATGATACGATAGGATAATTTATTAACTTTTAAGAATAATTTCTTTTAATGCAAATATTATTTTTTCAAATTAATTACGGAAACATTCTCTGAACTGATGTAATCTTCGATATAATCTTGTTATATCACCGAAATAACCGCGTCTGTTATGCAATACGCATTAAGCATTCTGTTTCTTTCTTTTTCATGGCAATATTAGCAGGCTCAATTATGTTAATACAAAAAGAGTGACCGATGCAATAAATATGATTACAAAAGTAAACCAGTTTCTGCGATCTTTACACGACCAAAATAGAGGCAGGCGCAGAATTCATATAACCATTTCTCTGGAATTATTATTACATAATAGAACACTACTATTCAGTGTTTGATTATGTACTTTGTTTATATCAACATCTTGTTGTAATTTTATTGTCCGTGTTTCTTTTTAAAGTGCTTAATAATTAACGCTTTTAAAGTTATTACATTAGTATTATGTTTTTTTATAAAACCTTAAAAAATAGACTTAAAAAATTATCATGTAAATAATTATCATGTATAACAATAATTATTTACGTGATAATCTTTTAAATCTTTCAAGACTTTTTTTCAAGACTTTAAAAGAACATATTATTAATATATAAATATTATTAATATATACATAATTATTAAGCACTTCAAAAAGAAACACGAACAATAAAATTGATATCTTTTTAGTAATTTCGATCTTCACTACTACTATTATTTTATACGTTTAACTTTACAAATAGTAACTTTACTATTTGAAAGTTTTATTTTATTCTGAATTATGTGATATATAATTTTTTTAGGCGACAATGTGGAATTTTGTGTCACAATATTAATAGCGCCATGTGACGTTTATCAAGAAGTTTTCCGATCGATGTATACTTCGCCAGATGGATTTTGTAAATCCTTTGTTATCGGTAAAATTAAATATGCGTGATGAAATATGACGGAATAAAGCATCCATGTGAGTTGCATCATCTTCACAAAGTGCATATATACTATTATTAATATATATTATTATAGTGCATATATACTATTATTAATATAATGCGAGTGCGTATAATCGATTGAAAGTAGTACGCTTGGTACTGTGGGTCGTCTATCAAAATGAAGTTTATTGACCGAAATAATCGCAACGGTCGGTCAACGTTGTTCTTAGTCAGGTGTACTTACGGATGATGAAACAAGATATTGATATTAGACATGTATCTGCAAAACATACGAGTTTTTACAAGTCATGCTCATAATTCTTTTTCAAGTGCATACATAAAGTATTCGAAATTATTTTAACAATTAAATTTCGAAAGTGTATTAAAAGTGTCCTGTATTTTCAGACTTTTTGGTTGCTCTTGCAGTGACTTTTCAATTCTCTCGATGAATTTCGTTAGGCACAGTGTCATGACAATTTACACACGAACAACAACACGTGTCAAAGATCGAAGAAGGACGTAACGAGATCGTCAGATAATATAAATTGATGTAAAGCGTCACCTCGACCTGAACGCTGTTTCTCATCGTCGATGGAAATTGTTTGCTCTGCTACTAAGTAATTATGTTTTCTAACATAACTAGTTCTCGGTAGATTCCGTTGAAATTTTTATTCTATTAAAAGTTTAACGCGAAGTATAATCAATAAGTATAATCTCTTAAATCTACTTAAACTATTGGATAACTTTTCATTGATACATATATATATATATAAAATGATCATCATTACATATTTATTGCGTCGAAATCAACACTGATTTTTTTATTACAAATATTAATAAATTACAAAGTTATGAAAGTAAAAAAAGCAACATTAATTTTTTACACTTTTCTTAATATGAGAAAAACCAATAATAATCAATAAATATGGATTCTGTTCTGTTTTCATTATTCTTTGGCCGGCATTAATATTGCAAGTTTCAAGAACTCCGAGTCGCAATAAATACGAAGTAAAACGAGAAATTTAGATTTTTTAACTGTATATATGTTTTTATATTTACTAAATTTATATATCATATCTTACTTATAATCGAAAACAATAATAATTATGTAGCAAAATACGAAAACATGAAAGCTTATGTTACTTATAATTTTATCTTGACCTTACGTTCAACTGATGTTTCGACGAATCTTAAAACATACACAAATATGTATAAAAACAAATCTACATTCATAATTATTTATCGATCTGTATGCAAATAATATGACATTTCAGTAGCTTTAAAATGAATTATGCATATGAGACTTTACGAATCAGCACATTCAATGTCAACATTATATATTTCTGATATACATAATTAATTATCTTGAAATTTTTTACCATAAATAAAATTATTCTTCGAATTTATTTATTCAATCAAATTTTTTTGATATTCCGTCTTAATGTCTGTGTATCTTATTTTTTTTCCTTTCTGCAATATTCATATAAATTTTACAATTCATTATTATTCAATTGATTAATTTTATTATTCGTTTTTATAATTTGTTTTCTTTTTTTGTTAATTCCCTTAATTTTTTTCTGTTTTCAGAGAGCTTATGTTCTAGGATATGAAAGCGTTATTCTACTCTCCGGGAAATTTCGATATAGCGGATCTAACTCGATTAGCGTTTCTTTATCAGACATTTTTCCTCGGGTTTCCCGGTATTTCGCCGTGGGTGTGTATATATCGATAAAAAGCTCCGTTATGTACATACCCGAGCGACCGGCACGATGGAATATCCATGAAACCGTGGAGGGGACGGCCCGAATGACAATGACGAGGTAGCGGCGTAGCGTCGGTAGCGGGAGGACGGTCTCTATAAAAGCCGTGCGCACCACGCTTGCCAGGTCATACGTCGTAGTCAGAACAGAAAGGAATTACCCGAGAGCTCTTCTACGAGAACGTTACGCGAGTGTTGCACGAGTTTGCATCAGAAGGAAGTTTAGTGAAAGCGGAGAAAAGGAGGAAACCGCAAGAAGTGATTCAGTGGTTGGCGAGAGCTCGGCTGTCAAACAACGTTAAAAATTCATTCGACGAACTTTATCGAGTCCACGAAGATTCCCACATTCAGTGAAGTGTGCAAGAGAGGCTCATTGAGGATTAAATCGCCAAACAGAAAGCAAGCAGAGATACTGACCACCGATATGACTCGTTGCCAGGAACCACAGTCCTATCACGCACAGACCACAATGACCGATAGGTAGTTATTATTATACAAAAAAAAATCTCGTTGCATGGGATTTCCACGTGGCTTACACGCACACTCGAATGAGGAGTAGCATGATTGCCGTGGTTCTCTCTCAGCAGTGATAAAGAAGTGCTTGGTCACGACGAAGTAATTTTAGCTTATCTCCGATCTTTATTTGTTCTGATGAGAAATTGTAGGTTCATTGCACATTGTGCAATATAAATCCTAGCTTGCACATTTTCGTATCTTTGATTTCGCAGAAATTATTTTAGATATCGGAGATATAATTCTTAAAAGGGTAGATTTCTTATCTTTTGACTTCGCAAATCACTGATGTTATCTAAAACTTAAAAAATTAATCTTGAACTTTTATATATCCTTGACATTATATAAAAACTATCTTAGCAATTGCCGAAGTAATTTAAAAGTTATGAATGTCTTGGAATGCTTTACCGTCTTCCACGTATAAGCGTATATACAAATTAACACATCATAGGGATTCATGTAACTTGTTGTGACAATTCCAAGTATTCTCTACACTGTCGCGCTTACATAATAATAAAGCGATGCGCAAATGATTGATCGAGAATGACTTACAGCGGGAAATCATCGTGGTGCGAGGCGTCTCGCTGCTATGGTACGTCTCAAACCATCACATGCGGCATGCTGCCGACCCTTCGAGAGCTGGCCTCCAGAGGATGCAACAGCCGGGGGAGTATTTGCCTGGTGCCCTTCGACATTGAGATGGACGCGGCCAGTCACCTTCAGATGACATTACTCGAGGCTTATTGCCGAGAGATTGGGATCGAAGTGTTAAGCGTATCCCAGGAGACGATACGATTGCACTTGTGTCCAGGAAGCACGGATCTGTCGTGCGTTCTAATAAGCGGCGACAAGTCATATTTTCCAAAGCTGCCGAAGTGAAGTACAAAGACTCGTCCTTGAGAGCTGAAACTAAAGGACCAGATTTCATACCGGTCTTTCACAAGCCGAAGTATTTTGCTGAGGTTCCTGTGTCAAGGGAGATACTTCACGCAAAGGATGAAGAACGGAGTTTTAACTCGGCAAGCAATGTGTCCTGTGTGTCTCACCAGCGAGGTTGCTGATAATGGACATTTTATATCGAAATATGTATAAGCGAGATATATTCGATCGCTCTCGCTATATTTTAACTGTTTGAAAATACTTTCTGTACTTTGAATTCTCCTCGGTCTTCTTCCTCGAAAATATAAATACTTATTTCTATTCGAATGTAGAGTATGAAAAGGGGAAAGAGGCAAATGAGGAGAAACAGATCTGTTATTGTTAAAACAAAGATTATGGTCAATCGAATGGTGTTTCTTTTGGAATCACTTACTCAATGATTGTAGGATATGAAATATTAATTAGCGTATGTAATGCATATCTATCAATTGTATACATTTGTCGTGAAAACAAACTAATCTTTGTTATATTTTATGAACATCGACGGTTGTGTCGAAGAACAATGTAAATGTATAATACAATCATTTGATAATATTAGATGATATAAAAAAAATATAAAGCTCTCTTTTATTTCCTATACCTATCTTTTACATCTTATTCTATCTCTATACGAAATCGATAATATCTTACTCGCTTAATTTATTAAAACTTTTCTCATAGCTTGCAAAATACTTGAGGAATTCCAATATCACTTCCATGGAGGAATTAAAAATCCTGAACGTGACGTGAGTAGGTACACATTCGAGGATAAAACGTATAGTTATACGTAAAATATAAAACGGATTGCGATCTTAAATAATTATATAATATTTTAGATCAATTTTCTCTTTCTTCCTAGTAAATTAAAATATATTTTACTTTGAGAAGTAATTAAAAAAAATATACTCTATATCATGCGAAGAATATCTTTCGTGTGCTCAGTCACTGTTTTACTGTTTTCTTTATAACAGACCAACGGCCGAAGTTACTTTTCATTTTTTCGGAAATTCCGATGATGGAGATAAAATTCGCGAATCTCTCAATCGACTCGTACAGCGTCGACGTCTCAGCGAAATTGCATTGGAATCCACGCACTTTACCTTCCAACAAAAACCCGCGCTTAAGTTACAGGTAATTATTGCAATTTACGATGTAACATTGCGTATTTGAGTATTATCGCAAAAGCAAATCAAAGTTGTATACATAAAATATATACGTATAATACATACAATACGTTAAAATTCGAAATTTAGAAATCATTCTTTGCCTCCTCTGATTTTTTTTTTAAAGTTGGAGATTTGAATTGGAATTAAAATTCAATTAATAAAATTAACATTTGTAAGAATGTGATTAATTGTTGCATAATTTAAAAAATTCTAAAAATTATCACGTTTTAGAGTCTGCGTATTAATCAAGTGAACGATTACGAGGTTCACTTGGGAGAACAAATCATCTTGTCATGCGCTGCTCAAGGAAGTTACAGCATAAGTTTTACTTGGTACAAAGACGGCATGTTGGTGAACACGAGTAAAGCTATCAGGTACCAAATCTATCGACATTTCGGAGTTTACATTACAGTATCCTAAAGCAATAATTAAAGTAACAATATTAAAATATATAATTTGCATGTATTTTATTCTTTATGAGAAAGCAAGGTTTTCTCAACTTACCAATCAGCATACAATATATTTAAAAAATATTAAAAAAAATATTTAATGTAAAAATATAAATGTTTAAAAAATGTTTTTTTTAAATATTGTGTGCTGACTGAGTTATTTATTCTGATCGCGATTTGCTATTTTAGAGAAATTTGGATTACTCAATTGCCGAACGATGGGTCGGATTTATATACATCAATATTGACAATCGAGAAGGCGACCCTACTCGACGCCGGTCAGTATACGTGTCAGGTAGTTGACTGGGGTGTGCAGCAATGCAAAAGTATCTACATCGAGGTCAGGGATGAGCCGGACGTAAAAGTGGTGCCGATGAGCGCCTCTATAGAAAAAGTAAACCGCAAATAGATTTGTTCAATGCAAGTAATTAAAATGTAAAACAAAAAGACATGTATTAATACTGCCAGACGATTGTTCGCAGGGCAACGATATACAACTAACATGTATGACTCCCAACATGCGTAACATCGGGATCGGCTTCGGTTGGACGAAAAATCGCGCCTTGCTCAAATTAGAACCTGGTCGAGCAGTTTGGGAGGATCTGTATCCAGCGGGTAGCATTTTGAAGATCACTAATACTCAGGTACAAGCGCCGTGCACACTCATTTCGATATTTAAAAAATATTGGAATTCAATGCAAAATAAATCTCTCTCGTTTTTAAAATTAAAATTAACTTACAAGGAAAACATCATGAAAGTGTCCCCATTCAATTTTGATCATCCTTTAATATATTGTTGCCTAGACCAAAATGAATGACATGTATTTTTTGCGCCTATTTTTATTTTTAGAGGGTAAAACACTTTTAGTGATAAAATTAAAAAATATATTAAAGAATATTAGTAGGTAAATTCGATTAATCTATTTGATACAGAGTGGTCCGTTTGGCATTTCAGAAATCGGCGATTTACACCTGCAATGTAGCGCACAAGTCTATGTCCGTGCGAGTTGAAGTCATGAATCGAACGCTAATACCGATATGCTTTAAAGAACAGTCCTGGGGTTTGGAATGGCCAGACACTGCACCAGGATCAGAGGCACTATTAGAATGCCCCCGATATTTCGTAGGTCGACGAGTATCCAGGCTGTGCTCGATGAAAGACGCTACTACACCCGAATGGCAAATACCGGATTTCTCGTCCTGCTTATATGAACCGTTGATTTTACCATATAACAATGTGAGTATTTTGTTTTCTTCAAACTTTATAATTGATTTGTTTCGTAAGGAACCGAAAGAATTTATTTAGAATTAATTAAAATGGCTATTTTTAATAGAGTAATATAAAATGTATGAAATACATCTTTAAATAAATATAAATTGTGATAAAATAAACTAGAGAATGCACGTAAGAATTAAAAGGCCATTGCAATATTTTGTAATATTTGATTATTAACATTTTTAACGTTTATTATTAAATACGCGGTGGAAATTTGAAAATAGTTGATATGTTTGATATAAAACAGAAAATTATAATAGCAAAAATGTTCGCATTTTAATTCGCGATCAAAGTTGACTAGTTTGATTTGTTATACTTGATTAAAGATCCAAATTTATTATCAAAATAATAAGTTGTGAAATCGATTTAATTTGTAGTTTCGAAGTCTGACATTGGGTTATCAAAAAATCATGAGTTCGGACACGATCCTCGCTTTTTGGAAGCTCTTGCGCAAACGTGCATTGCCGCTTTATCCTGGCGAAGGCGATCGTATAATAAGTATGTTGGCTGAAATCGAACGATATCAGCATAGAATCGATCCACAAGATGCATATAATTCCGCGGAGGCTTTGAGTCACATAATAAATCGCATACTGAGCGATGAATATTCGATCCTGAGTCAAGAGGTAAAGATAATGTAAATATAATGGATAGGAAAAAAGTTTAATTTTCAGTAAGATTCAAATAATAATGTTTTTTGCTTAATTTTAAACATAAAGTTGTTATTTTAAAAATGTATTGACTGCAAAGTACCTCATTATTTAGTTGTAATATAGTCTTGTTAAAAAAATAATAATTGTTTTCATCCAGAGAATATATACAAAATATATATATATATACAAATATAGTATA